TGAACGCCCAGCGTAAATCGGTAGAGTTTCTCCCGGCGCCACGAAGCAAAAAAAAAATATATTAAAAAAATATATGTATAAATGTATTGTCCCGAGTGTCCAGAGTCACTCCAATTATGTTTAAAATGTTTTAACGAATTCCATCGTAACTAATAAAATATTATAATATTGTAGAAACAAAATTTTAATATAAGTATAATTTGTTAGTAGAAGACTGCCAAAACATAGCCGTCACCCAGATATGGGTGACGCGGTGTTCAACGTGTTAAAGCAATTTATTTAAAATTGCTTCAATATATTTTATGAAATATATTTTAAAGCAATTTAAAGCAATTTAAAGCAATTCAGTTTATAAGCAATTCACTGTTAAAATTTCAAAGTAGATCATATCGAAAGATGATTAAGCAAACGAGGGTCCTTGCCGCCAGCTAGGACCTTGGAAGTCCCCAAAATCGACAAACCCGTACAATAAAACACGCACAATTAGATTGTGTATTTTTACGCGTTTGTTATGCTCGTAATCATTGACCTCAGTATATATAATAGAATTCGATTAATTTTGATAATCCATGCGGATCTACAGTTATGGCGATAGTGAATTTAGGCCCCTGGTTCAAAGAAGGAAGAGATCTAATTCGATTAGAATTAAAACCTTGTCATTGGTCGGCCAACCGACTGCATCGTTACCCCGAAGCGCAGCTAGGAGACGCAGAGGCGGACCTTCTAGCTGGATCATACGACAATCGTTTACAAAAAACCGACTAACGAACAATGACAACGGGCAATCGGTATATGCGTCCGATCGGTTACAACATGGACACTGGTCAACCGTTCGAAGGATCCGCCGCTGCGCGGATGCGTGTCACGAATAAACTATACATCGAATTAAAGCTAGAGACTCCTCCGATCGCTTCTCACGGTCCCTCCATATCCGGCGATTTGTTTCCGACGCGAATCAAACGGATCGGTGTAAGCAGGACCTAATTAGTCGCGCTCCTAATCTCGAAGGGGAGGGGAGAAAAAATACCTCCACGCTGCCGGAGTAAACCGCCGAGCCTGACGGATCGATCACAGTATGTCTCCCTTACTGACGCTCGGATTGCGCACAAAAATGGACAATTTGGAAAGAGGAGACACGATTATTTTAACCTTGCGGCTCGTTTATTATAATCGTGGACAATTTCGCGACTATAAAAACAAACCGCGAAGCTCGAACAATCGCGTCTCCTCTTCCCAAATTGTCTATTTTCGTGCGCGATCGAAGCGTCAATTGGAGAGACATCGCCGTACTTCGTCAGCCGGGCCACCGTCGATCGAGCACCGGAAATTGTTTTTCAAAAAAACGAAAATTACGCCTGTCGCGGAACACGTGGCGGAAGTTGAGCAGCGTGGAGGTCGAGGGAGCAAGTTGGAGGCGGGTCGAAACGGAAGTAGAAGGAAGAAGATAGTAGATATCTCGGGATGCAGCCGGTCCTGTGTCGTTCAACGACCGCGTTTAACGGGCCAATCGGTGCCGAGGTCGAGCCCGGACGCTTCCGGTTGTCGGGACTGTCTCTTTCCCGGGTGGAAAAGAGAGAACGAATAACAACGAGGCGTAGAAACAGTATTAAAATTTTTCCCTCGGGAGGCTCGCGTCGATCCCCGACGAGAAACGAGAGCTCGAACGCGGATCACACCAGCTGAGATTTATGCGATCGAGACCCGCCCTCGCTACCGATCGGCCATCCTGGCCTTGGCAGGCCTAGCAGCACGGTTCTCGGATCAATTGATCCACGATCTTTCGAAATCTTCACGAAATCCCGACGATCCCCCGCGTACCGGTAATCGTCGTCGAGTCCCTCGTCAGTCGTTCGCATCTGTGATTCGCTTGTATCGAGTGTTCTTTTATTCTTCTTCTTCTTCCTCTTCTTTTTTTACGTTTTTCTGAATTCTTCTTCTTCTTCTTCTTCGTCTTCTTCTTCCTCTTTTTTTTATTCCCTTAGCGATGTTTCTTTAATTATTAGAGTTATCGTTAATCGTTATCGTTATAACTGCTTCACTACGGTTGGTTGACTCTTGGACGTGGATCTGGATGGAGTGTGGTGTACCGGTGTGTACCAAATGCGCGCGTGAAAGAGAGAAAAAGCTCCGTCGTCTCTCGGTTTTCTCCTTTCTGCCCCGTTCTCCTCTTTCCCGTTCTCTACTCCGTAACCGTCGCGCCTTTCCGTACGAGGCGCGACGGCCTCTCCTCTGTCCAAGGTCCTCGCTAAGGATCTCTCTTTGTTCGCGTTCGTCTCCCCTCCTCTCGCTACTTTCGTCCTTTGAGCAACGCCATTTTGTCCGGAGATACGCCATTCGGTATTCTCCTGTTCGCTCGTATTATCTCCTCCGACGAAATCGCTCGAATTACTATACTCGATTCAACACCATCCTCGTAAAAATCGATACGGAACAACGGTTATTCGAATGTTGTTATTATAATTATTGTTACTAATTGTATACGTTACTATAGTCGAGATGTTGATCCATGCATTGTTTCTTCTCGCAGCATGTTAATTGAGACGTTCGATTTGTGCAATTTCTTCGGAACAATGTATGGTATCTGATAGAATTTAGCGATAGAGAGCAAGTTGCGTTTTGAACATTCTTGTTTCTGACACATTATTGTTCTTTATGGGCTTATATCGCAAATGGAATGTTACTCAGAGGTACGTAATAAATCAGGCAAGATACTAACCCTTTGCGCTCGAGTGGTGACTCCGAGGCGCCACTAAAATATGTTTATATCGCATTTCAAAATAATTTTTACATCAGAAAAATTTAGATTTGAAAAATTGTTGAAAGCATAACTGTTGTATAAGTCGCAAGACTCAATTTTACAAGCGTAAAATGCGCTATGTCATATAAAATAGAGACAGCGTAGGTCGGAAAAATCATTTTAGGTTTACAGTTAAAATGGCTTCGAGTGCGAAGAATTAATATTTCTCAGCCGGCTATCGAACAAGCGCTAATCGATCACATTTGTCAAAGAAATGGCGGCGCGAGGGGCACAGTTTCGAAAATGCGCTCTATCATATAAAATAGAGACAGCATAGTTCAGAAAAATTATTTTAGATTTACAGTTAAAGCGGCTTCGAGTACAAAGAGTTAATATTTCTCAGCCGACTATCGAACAAGCGCTAATCGATGTCAAAGAAATGGTGGCGCGAGGGGCACAGTTTCGACGGGGATGGTACATTTTCGAAAATGCGCTCCGTCGTATAAAATTGAGACAGCGTAGGTCGGACAAATCATTTTAGATTTACCGTTGAAATGGCTTCGAGCGCAAAGGGCTAAATCGTTTCGTTCTCTTCAAGAAATGGATTTTCATCTTAGCGGTGCTTTTTCAGCAGGAGGATAGTAATTCGGACGATTCCTGTATACATAGATCCAAGTACACGCGACTCTCGAGCCTGGTTCGGCAAACATTCTTTCTCTCGTTATTCGCGAGATAAATACTCGAGAGCGTAACATAATCGCAGACTAGCACCAAGTTTCGGTCGTTGATCACGCGAGGCAAACGCGTTTGTTTCCGCACTGATTTCTCGGGCTCGATCGTAGCCGAGGGGAGGAGGATAAATTCAGCGGGCTCCTCTGTGTTCCTCAGCTTCCGGTTCCCGTGTCGGTTCCTTCGCGAACTACAATCGCGTCACGTGTGAAAAAACAAACACTACGCCTCACTACAGTAATTCGTACCACTTGCTGCTCGGTTGGTATCCGGTTCGCCGGTGCTCGAGGGAAGGTACCGGCGCCTCTTCCTCGTTACCCAGAGACACCCCGAAGAGAAGCCACCCGATCGCGTGGACTTTAGTTTCTTTTTTTTTCATCTCGAAGAGACTGAGTCTGGGAATTACCAGTAGAAGGTTTCTCGAGCTCGTCGGTTATAAAACATTAGGATTTACGTTACTTCTATCAGCTAGAGTACGACGAACAAATTAGTTATTGTCTCTCTTGGGTCTTCAAGATTGATGCCGAAGAATCAATTTTGGTTCGGTAAATGTAACCGTTTCGGAAAAAAAAGATAGTCGTTGGAAAGAAATGACTCGATGCATGCAGTTCTAGGAAGAATTCTCACGTCTAGAATAGAAGTTAATTAATAGAAAACGGTGCCTATTATACTGCAGAATATTGTACACGTACAAATGATCGATAAGTTACAAAAGTGATCGTGTGATAATTTAATGAAACGATTCGCGCTACCAGTCGCGGTGATAAAATAGAAAATGGATTTCCAAAGTCAAAGCGATCTTATTCGTAAGTAAATGCTTCTTTTTATCTCTAGCAACCCTTGAATCGTTCACTTTTAAGGGACGTTAATCGGCCGAAAATATAACAGACTTAAGGGAGCTCGGAGAATCCTCTCTTACTTTTTTCCCTCGATAAGACTCGGTTTTTTAAAACTCTTTACACGAAGATCGCAACAACGGTTGTTCCTAATTTGTCTCCGGTGTCTCTGGCAACGTTAGGGCGCTTAGGAATGGAATGGTTCTCGGTCTCCGGGCCGGCGAACTTCGAAAGAAACGAATCTTTTCGCGGCGCCGTCGACGACGTCACTCTTCGACGCGTTCTCTCTTTTTCCTGTTTCGTTTCGTTTCGTTTCGTTTCGCTCACCGTTTCTAATTGCCATCGAGGATCGATTAAACGGAGGTCGTCGAGAGCGCCGCGATCACATGATCCGCGAGTGCGATACCGATAATGTATACGTTCATACGGTGTAGACGTGTATAATTGTTTTCCGTATATAGACTTATATAAAACGCACGAAAGCGGCTGAAGGCTATGTCATCCTTCCCCCTTGTATTTATAGCGACAAGCCGTACCTTGTTTCCACGCGATTCGACACGCTGCTCGCTGTGTCTCGTCATCGTATTATACCATCCTCCTCTCTCTCTCTCTCTTTCTCTCTCTCTCTCTCTCTTTCTCCCTCTCTCTCTCTCTCTCTCGCTCTCTCTCTTTCTTCTTTTCTATCTCCCTCTTTTGACTTCTTTTTTTCAATTTTTTTTTCTCGTTTTTCCTCGTTTTATTCACTTTTTATCAATGGAAAAAGAATTCGGGCTTAACTACGGCGGATCCCTTGAGATCACTTGAATATCCTAGAAACATTACTGACTCGCGTGTGTACGTCTAGGTGCGTGTCTCTCTATGTATGTACCGCATGGCATCCTTTTTTGTCTATGCGTCGTCCGTTTGTCCGTCCGTCTGTCCGTCTGTCTGTCCGTCCGTCTGTCTCCTTTCCTCTCCGTTTTGACTCTTGTGTACGTGTAGAGAGCGATCCGCGTGTGTCCGTGTACGTCGCCCGGTTCGATCCCCATCCAACACGATCACCTCTTCGTCTCGTCCCTCGAAGAATCGCATCCGGTCGAAGGACCTTCTCGAGTCGCTCCGACGATCTTGGCGTCCTTCGTGCGGTTCCTCGAGAGCTGGCACGAGACCGACGCGTTGCCTGCACGCACCGTCTTCCCTGTCCTCCTCGGAGGACCCGACCTTCTTCAGCAGGTCGAAGAAGCGTCCTTATAAAAACCCTCTCTCTCCTCCTCCTCTTTCTCCTCCTCCTCCTTCAACGGTGATCCTCCAACCTCCTCCGATTCCTCGCTTCGCCCTGCGCGCGGATGGTTAAATCGCGCCGTCGACTTCCGGTGTCGGTGGGGGCCGCGTCAACGAAGGCAAAAGAGACGGGGAGGAGAGGAGCCAGCGTGATGCCTCGTCCCCGACGGCGGAGAGCGAGCTCGATCGTCAGGGACGGGGGCAGACGAACCACGAAAGAAGCTTGCACAGGAACCTCGGATCGTTTTCTGTTCTTTTCTTGTTTTCGTTTAGTCACCTGTTCCTCCGTCCATCTATCCCTCCTCCAACCTCCTCCATTCCTCCGGTCCCGAGGACGTCACTGCTTGTTCCCCGCGCGAGCTCTCGCTCTAATTCTCGGAACCGCTGCCCTTCCCCCAGAACTTGTCGAAGCGGTTTCGCGCCTTCTCCAGCACCTCGCTCGCTGCCGAACGCTGCGCCGAGCCTGGCACCACCGTCGGCGCTTCAAGGACATGATAACCACCCACGCTGCTGCCTACGACCCCGCCTCCGCTGCCTCCACCGCCGGCGCCGCTGCTGCCGCCGCTGCCGCCGCCGCTGCTGCTACCGGTCGCAGCCTGCGGTGATTCCGCTTCTAAGATACGGTAGCCCGGCTGCGGGGCCGTCGACGACGACGGGGTCGTCATCGTCGCCGTCGTTGTCGCTTGGCTGACGTCCTTCTTTCTGTCGTACTCGAAACCCGGGTCCTCCAGGCATCTTAAATTCGTCCCGACCACCGGCTTTATCGATGGCTCCGGCCGGGGATCCGCCTTCGACTCCTCTGCGCCGCCCGATTCCTGAAAATTCACGATTCGGCATCACTATACGTGATTCGGTTCTATGTGAAATCGGAGTGGACTTCGTTAACACTTCCGTTATTCTTCTTCGAGGAAAGCGATAATAAGGAGCGTTGTCGTTACGATGGTGATAAAAATATTCAGGATCAAATTCGAGCATTCTAGAACATCGTTTCGTTTACTAGAACTAGATGTCTCACTACTTCCAATGTGTATTGAATTAATGATTAATTTCACTCTTCTCGCGACGATATCACCTTATCGTAAGAAAAATGGGACACTTTGACCCGAGCGTGACAGCGTAGAATAAAACCGTGACTATTAAATGTTTCCACGAGTGTATAAAATTTTCCGTCCATTTACGGCAGCGGCATTTCACCGAATTATTTGCCGCGAATGCAAAATAGAAGAGAATCTAAACAGATTGTTTACAATGCTTAATGTTGATAAGCACTTCGTTTCTAAGTGTTTTGAAGCGCGACTCCGGGTCGATCGTCGGCAACCACCGCGCAAATAACATGACCGCGCACCATCGTTCCATAATTAATACCGCACCGAGAATCCGGTAAACAAAAAAATAAAGATAAACGAAGTACCAGATAAGCGGGGTACGTAGAAAAGAGGAAAGACCAATTAAAGTACAGATAAACGCAATCAATAAAGAGCAATAAAAGCAAGTCGGTCGTACGGAGGAAACAAATTGAAACCAATAATAAGGAGCGTTGTCGTTATTATTCAACGGCGCGAGCCGAAGTAAACGACACTTTTTCTTGGGATCGAACCGGACGAACATTCGCGGAACGGTCGGTCCTTCGGGGTGGAGCCGGCAGCGTTCGCCAGGGACACCGGAAGTCACGAACGGGAGAATCGAATTCCAAGACGCTCCGACCGCGAGGGGCATTGAGCCGCGATCGAAAAGTTTCCTCGTTTCCCCGTGCCATCCGTCTCGCGTCAAGTTCGAGCCGCCGCTACCGAGCCGAGGTGAACCAACAAATGGATCAAGGTTGCCGCGGCGTATCCTTGAAGCCGGTACGCGAGGAGAAACGGTAGCGGTGGAAAACGTAACCGCGACCGCGCGGTAGAAAGTTTCGCAGTATAAAAATCGCGGCGCGGCACGTTTTTCGATTCATAGCGCCGCGTACGATCGTCGTTTATCAAGGATCTATCCGATCGACGCGAACGCGCGCTCGTGCTGGCAATAAAGCGCCGAGATTTCCGCGAATTGTGAAGTAGTTCCACGATCGAGTACTCTTTTTCGCTCCCGGCAGCGTCTATGTTTCATTTAT